TGCTGCACAGTGGATTTTTTTCAGTTGGTAGTTGTAGCTGTTTGTTTTCTTAGAAAACWTTTGGTTTTACTGTTTATGTTGAGCATCATGGGGTGTGCTGGCAGGGATGAGCTCAGTCAGACGTTTCTTTTGTTCTTCTGTAAACTGACATTTCACCTCAAGACAAAATCATCAAATCTCTCATCAGCTTTCTGTTTGTGGCGTGTTAAAATAAATTAGTAATGTTTACATTTACTTGCAGATACTTTCAGTTTGCTCACATTTACCTGTCTGAGCCCTTCACCTGGTATGCCACAGCARTTTTRTTGCTAGTTTGGCRTTATTTGCTATTTCCTCGTTGCTTYGCTCAAATCTGAACTTGACCAGATCATCACTGGTAAGTGTGAAGCCGTAGTTTGTCTCATAGTCAATATTAGCAATGACTGGCTCTTCTGTGGTCCTCACTTTTCAGACAATCCTGTTTGTCTCACAAACATRAACATGAAGTATCTGCTGGGTTTCAATTGTTATCATGATGAATTATTGTTGATGACGTGAGGAAAATGAATGTCTCTTTATTCAGACATCTGAATTCAAAGTGGACATTTTCTTCTCAGAGTGGTAGAAATGGTCTCCAGCAGATATGAGACAAACATCTGATGGCAGAATTTGCAGGATTCCTTCCTGACTTCAAGACAATCAGTGTGATCATATGGGCTGCACAGTTTGTGCTCATTAGTCAGTGTTTGTTTGTGTTTCTCTGCCAAGATCATGAAGCCTCAAGAGGCAGAGCTGGTTGCTGAAATCTCAAAGGTAAGGTTCTCTCAGGATAAGCTTATTTTGTATTTGAAAATGATCATAAGTCAAATGGGACATTTTTAAAGTGAGAGCCAGGATTATATTTTGTTGCTCTCTAATCTCAGATAACCTTTGTGTTGCCTTGTTATTTTTTCCCCATTGTGACTCTTTAGCTGCAATGCATGGTCACAGAGCTGAAAACAGGCTTTAGCAACGCACTGTCAGAGCTCAGTGAGATCCAGCAGGGAGACATGGACCTGAGGGAGAAGCTGGAGGAGAGCAGGAGGAGCTGTCAGAAAAAAGCCCTTSGACTGGAGACTCTCGTGGAGTCTCTGAGGGTGAGACTGAATAAAACACTCAGACAGGAAGATTAACTCCTGAGCTTTATCAGATAATGCTGAATGAGTTTCTGAGAATAAAGTACATCTTTGTTGAACTTACAGGAGGAACTTTATGTGATGAGGGGTCAGATCGTTCAGCTGTACAGCAACAGATATGAACACAACTCCACATCCAAACAAAGGTAAAAACTCAGTTACAGAGCTGTACAGAAATCTTAAACTTTTTAACATCTAGTCTTTCATTCCAGGGTTTGGATTTTATGACATTAATCATGTTCAGTTCAGATTTTTTGTTTTATTTATTTAACCAGGCAAATCCCATTGAGATCACTCTTTTGCAARGGAGGCCTGTGCTTGAAGGCAACCTATTGTTCTAYAAGTTTTTGTCTGTGGGGGAAAACTTTAGTACCCRGAGAAAACCCACATAAGCACAAGRGGAACRTGCAAACRCYACACAGAAAGACCCCAAGTCYGAACCAGGGATCAAACCCTGGCTGTGAAACAACAGTGCTWACCACTGARCCACCATACTACCAAATATTTAATAATTGGTCATTTCTCAGAAACAAATGTTTTATTTACCCTTCTGCTATGATAAGGGCTGCATTATATATTATTATTCTCATCTATTCATAACCAAATTTATGTTTTTCTTATTTGATTAAAAACATGATACTTTTGGACTGAAGCTGTGTAAGTAAACAACTACTTGTTCAAGATTTTATTTATTTATTGCTAATGTAAAGCTGAAAAACCTTGACGTCCCTGCTGCTTTCAAGACCCAAAACACATAAGGGCAAAGACTCGTTACACCCCAAAGATCCTGTCCCCCAACACAACAAGAGTAATATTGTGTAATGTTGTTAAGTGCCAGGAGGACTGTGACCAGTTATACATTAGGGAAACAAAACAGCCACTGTTCAAAGCAATGACCCAACACAGAAGAACAACATCATCAGGTCAGGACTCTGCAGTTTACACTCATCTACTGGTCAGGACTCTGCAGTTTACACTCATCTACT